CAACCCACCCACAATGGCGGAGGCTTCCTACCTCTCTGCCTAGAAACAAGTGACATTTTGGGCCAAAAACTGGTATAAAGTGACCTTATATACACCTCCCTTGCGTGTAGAAACCTTTAAGGGAAGATCCTACCCATTTGGGGAGCTAAGAGGGTGTGTAAGGGGGGGGTTTTTGAAGGGAAGAAGTTTGAAAGATTGTTGATGTGTCGTCAATGCGTCATTGGGGAAGGACGCAAGGCGTAGCGTCGATTGAGGAAGTTACCGGAGCATTGAAGCAAGCGGAGCATTCTGTCTGCTATAGTGCAGTTACGCAATACTGCGTCATCTATAACCCTCCCCTCCTTCCCTCTGTATATATATATATATACACGGGGTATATTTTGCGTTGATATAAGTTTTTCTGCGTGTATATAGGCAGTGACGTGGCAGTTGAGGCTATGACAGACCCTTGACATGACAGTGACAGCTGTGATTTGTGTCATAGTGTGCTTCAAGACTTCAAATGGCGACATGTGGAAGCCTGACTCCTCTTACCCCTCCCTCCCCTCCCCCCCCCCCCTTCTCTCTCTTCAATGCGCCCCCCACCACCCAGCCGCCCCCCCCCTCTCTCTCTCTCTCTCTCGCCCCCTCAATAACCCCCCCACAACCCCCCCTCCCCCCTTCCCCCCACCTCGACCTTGGCGCGGGTGAACCAGTACAACCCCGATAAGGCGACTCGGCCGGGCCTCGACCCCGTTATGGAAACTCTTGGCTGCTGCCTCTCCGGTTAGATAAAAACGCCGGCTTCTACCTCTCCCCCCCTCCCCCCCCATTGTATACGTCTCTCTTCCCCCCATGCAAAGGTCAACCTTCAACACCACGCACACACCCTATATACACACCTAGGAGACCTAGTGTATGTCTCCCAGCGCCTATACACTCCTTGTATACACTTTACAAGTCAACTACACCCCCCTTTCTCCAGCAACCTCCCCAATCGTTTCTGCTTCTGCCCGAGTGACCCATATCTCTGGCAAGCAAGGGATGTGTATACTAGCGGCCTGTGGCCGCTGTTAAGTGTATGCCCGGTTAATAGGGGTATTGTGCCCATAACCCGGGGATTTAAATGCCCCTCTGCTGCCCCCCCCCCCTGCCCCGCCTCCCCCTACCCACACTGGGGAGCATGCCCACGGGATGATTTTAAATTTTGCCCCGAGGGGGGAGTTTATTGGGCAGCGTCACTCACCCTGTGAGTGGACACACCGCCATAGTGACAGTATTGGGCAGCGCCACTCATCCTGTGAGTGGACACACCGCCATAGTGACAGTATTGGGCAGCGCCACTCATCCTGTGAGTGGACACACCGCCATAGTGACAGTATTGGGCAGCGTCACTCATCCTGTGAGTGGACACACCGCCATAGTGACAGTATTGGGCAGCACCACTCATCCTGTGAGTGGACACACCGCCATAGTGACAGTATTGGGCAGCGCCACTCATCCTGTGAGTGGACACACCGCCATAGTGACAGTATTGGGCAGCGTCACCCATCCTGTGAGTGGACACACCGCCATAGTGACAGTATTGGGCAGCGCCACTCATCCTGTGAGTGGACACACCGCCATAGTGACAGTATTGGGCAGCACCACTCATCCTGTGAGTGGACACACCGCCATAGTGACAGTATTGGGCAGCGCCACTCATCCTGTGAGTGGACACACCGCCATAGTGACAGTATTGGGCAGCGCCACTCATCCTGTGAGTGGACACACCGCCATAGTGACAGTATTGGGCAGCGCCACTCATCCTGTGAGTGGACACACCGCCATAGTGACAGTATTGGGCAGCGCCACTCATCTTGTGAGTGGACACACCGCCATAGTGACAGTATTGGGCAGCGTCACTCACCCTGTGAGTGGACACACCGCCATAGTGACAGTATTGGGCAGCGTCACTCATCCTGTGAGTGGACACACCGCCATAGTGACAGTATTGGGCAGCGTCACTCATCCTGTGAGTGGACACACCGCCATAGTGACAGTATTGGGCAGCGCCACCCATCCTGTGAGTGGACACACCGCCATAGTGACAGTATTGGGCAGCGTCACTCATCCTGTGAGTGAACACACCGCCATAGTGACAGTATTGGGCAGCGTCACCCATCCTGTGAGTGGACACACCGCCATAGTGACAGTATTGGGCAGCGTCACCCATCCTGTGAGTGGACACACCGCCATAGTGACAGTATTGGGCAGCGCCACTCATCCTGTGAGTGGACACACCGCCATAGTGACAGTATTGGGCAGCGTCACCCATCCTGTGAGTGGACACACCGCCATAGTGACAGTATTGGGCAGCGTCACCCATCCTGTGAGTGGACACACCGCCATAGTGACAGTATTGGGCAGCGTCACCCATCCTGTGAGTGGACACACCGCCATAGTGACAGTATTGGGCAGCGTCACCCATCCTGTGAGTGGACACACCGCCATAGTGACAGTATTGGGCAGCGACACTCATCCTGTGAGTGGACACACCGCCATAGTGACAGTATATCGTAAGTGCTTTCGTGAATCTGGCCCCTGGTTCGTAAGTGCTTGCGTAAGTGCTTTCGTGAATCTGGCCCCAGGTTCGTAAGTGCTTGCGTAACTGCTTCTGACCCCAGGTTCGTAAGTGCTTGCGTAACTGCTTCGTGAATCTGTCCCCAGGTTCGTAAGTGCTTGCGTAACTGCTTCGTGAATCTGGCCCCAGGTTCGTAAGTGCTTGCGTAACTGCTTCTGACCCCAGGTTCGTAAGTGCTTGCGTAACTGCTTCGTGAATCTGTCCCCAGGTTCGTAAGTGCTTGCGTAACTGCTTCGTGAATCTGGCCCCAGGTTCGTAAGTGCTTGCGTAACTGCTTCTGACCCCAGGTTCGTAAGTGCTTGCGTAACTGCTTCGTGAATCTGTCCCCAGGTTCGTAAGTGCTTGCGTAACTGCTTCGTGAATCTGGCCCCAGGTTCGTAAGTGCTTGCGTAACTGCTTCTGACCCCAGGTTCGTAAGTGCTTGCGTAACTGCTTCGTGAATCTGTCCCCAGGTTCGTAAGTGCTTGCGTAACTGCTTCGTGAATCTGGCCCCAGGTTCGTAAGTGCTTGCGTAACTGCTTCTGACCCCAGGTTCGTAAGTGCTTGCGTAACTGCTTCGTGAATCTGTCCCCAGGTCTTTATCTTCAAATGTATATTTGTCGATACTGCTAAGGGGCCATGAGTTCTAAATTTACCAAAAAAAATGCAATAAATGAAAACTTGTTTGATTGTATTCAAACTTTTTTGACGAGTTGTATATTAAAAGTGTTTCCTCTGGGGCCTCGTAGCCTGGTGGATAGCGCGCAGGACTCGTGATTCTGTGGCGCGGGTTCGATTCCCGCACGAGGCAGAAACAAACGGGCAAAGTTTCTTTCACCCTGAATGTCCCTGTTACCTAGCAGTAAATAGGTACCTGGGAGTTAGTCAGCTGTCACGGGCTGCTTCCTGGGGGTGGAGGCCTGGTCGAGGACCGGACCGCGGGGACACTAAAGCCCCGAAATCATCTCAAGATAACCTCAAGATAACCTCTGGTCCAAGTCTCAGCATCGTAGCATTAATAGAAAGGGAGGAAAAAATATTGAATTCTGTGTCAAAATTTTTTTCCAAAATGGTGAAAAATTAATATGAAACAAAAGTGTCAACTGAAATCATATCTATGACTCTCAGCTATCACAATAGCATATAAGAAAAATATTTAATAATTAGATTAATAAAAAAAATTAAGTTAAAAAAAATTGATTTTTTTTTTAATTTTATTTTTTCTTATTTGCTTATTGGACGATTTGCATGAAATTTATACACCTGAGTGCACTTAAGCCTATCTATAAGGGTGCCAATTTTGGAGGAAATTGGTTGATATCAACCACAGATATTATCTTGAGGTTATCTTGAGATGATTTCGGGGCTTTAGTGTCCCCGCGGCCCGGTCCGCGACCAGGCCTCCACCGCCAGGAAGCAGCCCGTGACAGCTGACTAACTCCCAGGTACCTATTTACTGCTAGGTAACAGGGGCATTCAGGGTGAAAGAAACTTTGCCCATTTGTTTCTGCCTCGTGCGGGAATCGAACCCGCGCCACAGAATTACGAGTCCTGCGCGCTATCCACCAGGCTACGAGGCCCCTTTGATGGCAGATGGCAGCACCTTAGATTTTAATTTTAAATGATTTATTTTTCAAGTAATAAAAACTGAGTCCCTACTCTATAATTGTTATTCAATTTAGATGAAACTTACACCTTATATGTAAAATTTATTTCTCTAAAATCTTATGCTAACTTTTTTCCCTTAAGTTCATTTATTGATTTTATAATAGCAATAAACATGATATGTTTGCATAATTTTTTTGAGGAACTTTTGACTATTTGTGTTAGTAAAACTGAAGATATTTTGGAAAATCCGCGGCTACAGAACCTTTATTATATGCTAATGTGTCAGAAAAGTGTCATAGAAGGATCATATATTTGAATATATTGAATATAAATATACATTTGATATAATATTTGAAACTTGTGGTTGTAAGAACTTAGTGAAAATGTGTAATATGCATTGAATAAAAACAAAAATTTTAATTTATTCAAAATATATTTGAATATTCAAAAAAAAAATTAAATCTGCCTTTCTATTTAGGCTGCAGTACAGCCAAAAAAGATTTATTGACATTAAATAAAGTTTAAAAAACTGACTAATGACCCTTGACCTCTAATTACAGGATTAATTAGCTTACGGTGACCAAACCAGCGTATATACGGTGTATGGGACACTTAGCCTCTTTCTCGACACACAGTCAGAGACCCCGGGTTCGATTCCCGAGCGGGGCAGAAATGATTGAGCCCTTTTCCTTTCACCTAATGCCTCCGTTCACCTAGCAGTAAATAGTATCCCAGGAGTTATGCAAGCAATACAGCAAGAATATTGTATTTCATGAGAATACAACATATACCTTAGAACAGGGAACAGAAAATGAGTCAAAGTAGATACCTGATTCTTTTTCTCCTGATGCACCTGTTCACCAGGCAGGGGATAGGTTACCATAGATGTATAAACAGCTGTTGTAGGTTGTGTTCTATGGGCCCCAGGGTTATCCCCCTCAAATTGGCTTTGAGTGCACTCAAGCCTGCTTTGAGTGCACTCAAGCCTGCTTTGAGTGCACTCAAGCTGGCTTTGAGTGCACTCCAGCTGGCTTTGAGTGCACTCCAGCTGGCTTTGAGTGCACTCCAGCTGGCTTTGAGTGCCCCTAAGCTGGCTTTGAGTGCACTCCAGCTGGCTTTGAGTGCACTCCAGCTGGCTTTGAGTGCACTCCAGCTGGCTTTGAGTGCACTCAAGCTGGCTTTGAGTGCACTCCAGCTGGCTTTGAGTGCACTCCAGCTGGCTTTGAGTGCACTCCAGCTGGCTTTGAGTGCACTCAAGCTGGCTTTGAGTGCACTCCAGCTGGCTTTGAGTGCACTCCAGCTGGCTTTGAGTGCACTCAAGCTGGCTTTGAGTGCACTCCAGCTGGCTTTGAGTGCACTCCAGCTGGCTTTGAGTGCACTCCAGCTGGCTTTGAGTGCACTCCAGCTGGCTTTGAGTGCACTCCAGCTGGCTTTGAGTGCACTCCAGCTGGCTTTGAGTGCACTCCAGCTGGCTTTGAGTGCACTCCAGCTGGCTTTGAGTGCACTCCAGCTGGCTTTGAGTGCACTCAAGCTGGCTTTGAGTGCACTCCAGCTGGCTTTGAGTGCACTCCAGCTGGCTTTGAGTGCACTCAAGCTGGCTTTGAGTGCACTCCAGCTGGCTTTGAGTGCACTCCAGCTGGCTTTGAGTGCACTCAAGCTGGCTTTGAGTGCACTCCAGCTGGCTTTGAGTGCACTCCAGCTGGCTTTGAGTGCACTCAAGCTGGCTTTGAGTGCACTCCAGCTGGCTTTGAGTGCACTCCAGCTGGCTTTGAGTGCACTCCAGCTGGCTTTGCATAACATTTTATTACACAATGACCAATCCCTCAGCATTTACTGACCTCCAAACAGCTTGATTGCTACAGACCACTACAGACCGCTACAGACCACTACAGACCGCTACAGACCACTACAGACCACTACAGACCGCTACAGACCACTACAGACCGCTACAGACCGCTACAGACCACTACAGACCACTACAGACCACTACAGACCGCTACAGACCGCTACTTCAGTAGTACTAGAGCGTTTTTAAACTCTCTCATGTGTGACGTCACATGAGAGTTTGGGTCGATGGGAACACGCTATTGTCCCCCCCCCCCCCCTCACTCTCTCTCTCTCTCTCTCTCTCTCTCTCTCCCTCTCTCTCTCTGTCATATATATATATTCACCTAGTTGTGCTTGCGGGGGTTGAGCTCTGGCTCTTTGGTCCCGCCTCTCAACTGTCAATCAACTGGTGTACAGGTTCCTGAGCTTATTGGGCTCTATCAAATCTACACTTGAAACTGTGTATGGAGTCAGCCTCCACCACATGTGTGTGTGTGTGTGTGTGTGTGTAAAGGCAGAGGAAGATTATATGTGACACATATGTGAAGTTATATGTGCTATTTATGATATCATAATAACAAGAAATCCGTACACCTAACAGAAATCACTCTATAATTACAAATTCAAAATTAGTCAACAACTCTTACATCAAAGATTACAAAATTTGCAATTTTGTAAATCCTGCAATTGAAATCCTGAAGTTAGAATCCTACTGCATGAATTCTCTGAATCTCTGACTTATAGCCTCACGTATTTCTTGAATTCCAAATTATATTTAATCTATATGTCTCTTTTATTAATACTTTCATATATTGCTTGAGAGAATGTTCTGTTTTTGCTAGATACATATGCCATAGTATACTGTCTTTGATACATATGCCATAGTATACTGACTTTGATACATATGCCATAGTATACTGTCTTTGATACATATGCCATAGTATACTGTCTTTGATACATATGCCATAGTATACTGACTTTGATACATATGCCATAGTATACTGACTTTGATACATATGCCATAGTATACTGTCTTTGATACATATGCCATAGTATACTGACTTTGATACATATGCCATAGTATACTGTCTTTGATACATATGCCATAGTATACTGACTTTGATACATATGCCATAGTATACTGACTTTGATACATATGCCATAGTATACTGACTTTGATACATATGCCATAGTATACTGACTTTGATACATATGCCATAGTATACTGACTTTGATACATATGCCATAGTATACTGACTTTGATACATATGCCATAGTATACTGTCTTTGATACATATGCCATAGTATACTGTCTTTAATACATATGAGAGAGTATACTGACTTTGATACTTATGAGTGTATACTGACTTTGATACATATGAGAGAGTATACTGACTTTGATACATATGCCATAGTATACTGACTTTGATACATATGATAGAGTATACTGTCTTTGATACATATGAGAGAGTATACTGTCTTTGATACATATGCCATAGTATACTGTCTTTGATACATATGAGAGAGTATACTGTCTTTGATACATATGAGAGAGTATACTGTCTTTGATACATATGCCATAGTATACTGTCTTTGATACATATGAGAGAGTATACTATCTTTGATACATATGCCATAGTATACTGTCTTTGATACATATGAGAGAGTATACTGTCTTTGATACATATGCCATAGTATACTGTCTTTGATACATATGAGAGAGTATACTGTCTTTGATACATATGAGAGAGTATACTGACTTTGATACATATGCCATAGTATACTGTCTTTGATACATATGCCATAGTATACTGTCTTTGATACATATGAGAGAGTATACTGACTTTGATACATATGCCATAGTATACTGTCTTTGATACATATGCCAGAGTATACTGACTTTGATACATATGAGAGAGTATACTGTCTTTGATACATATGAGAGAGTATACTGTCTTTGATACATATGCCATAGTATACTGTCTTTGATACATATGAGAGAGTATACTGACTTTGATACATATGCCAGAGTATACTGTCTTTGATACATATGAGAGAGTATACTGACTTTGATACATATGCCAGAGTATACTGACTTTGATACATATGCCAGAGTATACTGACTTTGATACATATGAGAGAGTATACTGTCTTTGATACATATGAGAGAGTATACTGTCTTTGATACATATGAGAGAGTATACTGTCTTTGATACATATGAGAGAGTATACTGTCTTTGATACATTTGAGAGAGTATACTGTCTTTGATACATTTGAGAGAGTATACTGTCTTTGATACATATGAGAGAGTATACTGACTTTGATACATATGAGAGAGTATACTGTCTTTGATACATATGCTAGAGTATACTGACAATAGGTGTGACCAATGTACTGAAATTGAGAATAATATGAATGTATTTTATTTCTGTAATCAGAAAGCTGTTCTTGTAAACTGTATTAGAGTCACTTTTAAAGATTTAAGTGGAGTAAGTATTAGAGTGGAGTTAGTGAGGTATTAATGTTTCATATTGACCTAAAATGAAAGAGAATTTACACTAACCTAGCCTAGCCTGGCCTGGCCTAACCTAGCCTAACCTAGCCTAACCTAACCTAGCCTAACCTAACCTAGCCTAGCCTAACCTAGCCTAGCCTAGCCTAACCTAGCCTAGCCTAACCTAACCTAGCCTAGCCTAGCCTAGCCTAACGTAATCTAGCCTAACGTAATCTAGCCTAACCTAACCTAACCTAACCTAACTTAGCCTAACCTAACCTGACCTAACCTAGCCTAACCTAACCTAACCTAACCTAACCTAGCCTAGCCTAACCTAACCTAGCCTAACCTAGCCTAACCTAACCTAACCTAACCTAACCTAGCCTAACCTAACCTAGCCTAACCTAACCTAACCTAACCTAGCCTAGCTTAACCTAACCTAACCTAGCCTAACCTAGCCTAACCTAACCCTAACCTAACCTAACCTAGCCTAGCTTAACCTAACCTAACCTGACCTAACCTAACCTAACCTAGCCTAACCTAACCTAACCTGACCTAATCTAACCTAACCTAACCTAACCTAACCTAGCCTAACCTAGCCTAACCTAACCTAGCCTAACCTAACCTAACCTAGCCTAACCTAACCTAACCTGACCTAACCTAACCTAACCTAGCCTAACCTAACCTAACCTGACCTAATCTAACCTAACCTAACCTAACCTAGCCTTACCTAGCCTAACCTAACCTAACCTAACCTGACCTAACCTAGCCTAACCTAACCAAATCAACCACTCCGTTAAAAATGCGACGTTCTAATACACAATTAAAGCCCCGTAATATTTCTGACACTTGTATCGTAAGAAATGCAACTGTTTCGCCTAACTAGAGCCCATACGCACCCAAGTAACCTGGTTTCACGACTTTGGCACTCGAATTGGCACTCTGGGTGATTAGTCAATGCCAAATAGTCTTCCGGGCTTGGCACTGTTTCTTTAATTGCTTACTAAGAGACTGGTGCCAGAGATAATGGCACCAAGCCATGGTCACAGGAAAGTAACTCAGTCTGAGGATACATGATCTCAACATACAAGATACTTAATAGACGAGGGCCACCAAGTCTCTTCCAAACGAGGCAAAGACAGAATGGACACAGAATGGGGGGAAAAAGAAGTAGTGGAAACCACCTCCATCTACACAAAGAACCTGCTAGCATTGCTGGCCACCCAGTGAAAAGCACAGTAGAGAGGACATGTTCCTGACATACAAAATTCCAATTTGAATTTGGTAGTTCAGTTGGCTTCGTTCTGAATTCACAATTGGGAATCCCACGGAGCGGGACAGAAGTGGTTGGGCACGTTCCTTTTCACCTGACACATCTGTTCACTCAGATGAGGCAGGACCAGAGGACACAGGACACACAGATGAGGCAGGACCAGAGGACACAGCTAGAGACACAGATGAGGCAGGACCAGAGGACACAGCTAGAGACACAGATGAGACAGGACCAGAGGACACAGGACACACAGATGAGGCAGGACCAGAGGACACAGCTAGAGACACAGATGAGACAGGACCAGAGGACACAGGACACACAGATGAGGCAGGACCAGAGGACACAGCTAGAGACACAGATGAGACAGGACCAGAGGACACAGCTAGAGACACAGATGAGACAGGACCAGAGGACACAGCTAGAGACACAGATGAGACAGGACCAGAGGACACAGCTAGAGACACAGATGAGGCAGGACCAGAGGACACAGGACACACAGATGAGACAGGACCAGAGGACACAGCTAGAGACACAGATGAGGCAGGACCAGAGGACACAGCTAGAGACACAGATGAGACAGGACCAGAGGACACAGCTAGAGACACAGATGAGGCAGGACCAGAGGACACAGCTAGAGACACAGATGAGACAGGACCAGAGGACACAGCTAGAGACACAGATGAGGCAGGACCAGAGGACACAGCTAGAGACACAGATGAGACAGGACCAGAGGACACAGCTAGAGACACAGATGAGACAGGACCAGAGGACACAGCTAGAGACACAGATGAGGCAGGACCAGAGGACACAGGACACACAGATGAGACAGGACCAGAGGACACAGCTAGAGACACAGATGAGTCAGGACCAGAGGACACAGGACACACAGATGAGACAGGACCAGAGGACACAGCTAGAGACACAGATGAGACAGGACCAGAGGACACAGCTAGAGACACAGATGAGTCAGGACCAGAGGACACAGGACACACAGATGAGGCAGGACCAGAGGACACAGCTAGAGACACAGATGAGTCAGGACCAGAGGACACAGGACACACAGATGAGGCAGGACCAGAGGACACAGCTAGAGACACAGATGAGGCAGGACCAGAGGACACAGCTAGAGACACAGATGAGGCAGGACCAGAGGACACAGCTAGAGACACAGATGAGACAGGACCAGAGGACACAGGACACAC